GAAAGAAAGAAAGAAAGAAAGAAAGAAAGAAAGAAAGAAAGAAAGAAAGAAAGAAAGAAAGAAAGAAAGAAAGAAAGAAAGAAAGAAAGAAAGCTTTAGCAGAGCTGTAATATATAGACTCACTATAGTAGCCAACATTTCCCCATCCTGTCACTGTTCCCATCAGTCCATCAGTCAGTCTCTGACCGTATGCTGGCAGACACACAGGTTGGATGTACTCTACAAACAGATTAACATAAACAGACAACAAACAAAATTGCTCAACACCAACAATGCTAAGCATTTTATTTTACAAACTTATTTTAACAAAGTTGTTAAGTTCATTAACTTGTTTAGATTTTTTCTAATACCAAATTTACAGTTCCATATTATTATGAAATCTATAAATTGATTTTTTTGCAGCATCTTGCTGCAGACAGTGAAGGATCTCAGCTTCCTCAAGAAGTACAGTCTGCTCTGTCCTTTCTTGTAGACTGCTTCACTGTTGAGTCTCCAGTCCAGTCTGTTGTCCAGATGAACACCGAGGTATTTATGTTCCTCAACCACCTCCACTTCTTCTCCCATGATGGAAACAGGGTTTGATCTAGCACTATTTCTCCTGAAATCTACAGTCATCTTCTTTGTTTTGTTCACATTCAAGTTGAGATGATTGTTCCCACACCATGTCACAAAGCGGTCCACCAGCTCTCTGTACTCAGCTTCCTGTCCATCTCTGATACACYCAACAGCTGCAGAGTCATCTGAGTATTTCTGTAGATGACAGCAGTCTGACTTGTGCTGGAAGTCTGAAGTGTACAGTGTGAACAGGAATGGTGAGAGTACAGTTCCCTGTGGTGCTCCTGTGCTGCTGACCACATGGTCAGGTGTGCTGAATTTACTTTCAAACATGTTGCATACCTTTCTCTAGCCATGTCAAGGTCAAATTAAAGCTGATTAAAAACAGATAAACACTGTCAGACCCTGCTGGCTGTCCTCTTACTAACATTTTTCACACCCCACTGAAGATAGATGATGGAAAAGGGGATTTGTTTGGTTTAAATTTGCCATATTTGCAGCTGTCACAAATTTCTTCCTTCCTTGGTTTTAGTTTTAGTTTTTAAAATGTTTTATAATTGTTTTTGCAGTACAAAGATAAAAAAATGTAATCTTTTAAATTTGCTTTCTGCTTGTGCTGGAGTTTATAGAGAATTCTACACCTTTTCTTGGTTTACACGTCAGACGTGTCCTGCAGATTATATAATGCTTTGTAATGCAGCTGAATACAGTCTTTAGAAATACTAATGTATTTATTTCAGCACTCTTGAGTTGAGTTTACATTGTAAACAGATTATAAAAGTGTGATGTAAACAATGTTACTTTGTTTGAAACACCGTGATAGTGATACCACATGTCCTACCATTGAAGGTGAGAGGTTGTGTGAGGGCCAGAACAGCAATGTCCCTGCTGTTGTCATCAATATTGGCATCAACAAATGGCAGGTAGCTGCTGTGGTAAACGATGGTCTTCACCTCTGCTACATTAGCATTGACTGGTTTATTGTAGATGGAGCCTAGCAGGACACGCCAGCGGTTAACAAAACGAAAGCGCCTAGCAAAGGAGAAAGCAAACACAATGTGATTTTTCTTTTATGCTTCTTTTTATTTCAACATACAAACACTGTATGTTCTTGGTTCTTTCTGTATCATCTGAGCAAAATGAAGTTAATTTTAAAAATCCAAATAAAGAAAACAAAATTATATAGTAACTTTCAATAAAGCTTTTAGAAGAAGCTACTTCCTTATTGTTACTTAAATTAAAAAAAAGCTCTTGTTTTTGTGCCTAACTTACTCTGGGAAGCAGTGAGCTGCAGAAACAATCCATCGATTGGAGATGATGGATCCTCCACACTTATGGACACCATCGTACTGTAAGCTGACCTGCCAGGGCCAGCTGCCCTGCCTCGCATCCACACCTCCAACGATACGGTCTGCTGTAAAACTTCTCCTGCCACAGTCTGTCAAACCAAAAGACATGTTTAAAACAGACTTCATAATTGCTATTTACTTTAGAATACCTTGTTGTGTATAAATAAAGTAAAACCATGGAGTTATATAGAACAGCAGGAGTGTGTCTTGACCAAGTTACCAGGTGAGTTACTGTAACAGTGGCATGCTAACCAGAACAAGCAAGAGTCTGAATTTAGCGGTACTGTATATATTCGCAAAAAATGCGGGCTGATTATGTAGAGACTTTCTCTACTCTGAGCTTTCACCTTGCTTGGTCATCATTTCTGCTCTCCATGATGTCACAAATGCTAACAGTGGATAGGACAGGTGGAGCTTGTTCTAGTGTTATCTAACTCCATAAGTAAAAAACAACTTTTTAAAAGTGCAATAAGGGGGGAAATAAAATTTCTAAACATAACTGTACAAGTTGAAAAAATAAACTTTCAGGCTCAAAAGTAAAAAGGGCACAAAATCTAAAGTGTACCACTAAGGAGAAATACAAACCAACATGCAGAAAGAGRCAGGGGCGGAGCTAGACATTTTTTTTACAAGGGGTGGCCAAGGTGTTATTTAGGGGGGCACAAACAGTTTAAATAAAGAACACAATCCTGGATTTGAAAATTCTAGATGGTCACCGCAGACGATTTCAAGTGGCTCCAATTCAGCAGTTTTAAGAAATATTGAGCTGAAATTTTGTGTGTTAATAGGGATTATCTGAAAAAAACTGATCACCAATATACAGTAGCCACAGTTTAAACAAAATTTTTAAATTGTGGCCACATGGCAGTTTCCATCAAAGTTTCTCAAGTAAATTTTCTAGTTGCTCCACATCATTGCTATGTTATACGTAGAGTTGCCATTGGGTGTTGCCCAATTTTCATTAAATGTTTCTTAAACCTAGAACTATTACACACAATTGTTGTTTATATTAATTCAGTTGTTTAAAAAATACTACACACTAGTAGGTTCCCTCCTGACCAGATAATACATTTACTGATACTTAATCTGTTTTTGCTCTAACTGATCATCTCTTATTGCCACATGCAATCCCCACACCACTTGTCAATCAATTGGGGGTGGCATCTGGGGTGGCCAATCAGGTGCCAGAGATGGCAGTTGGCACCCTCTCTGGCTCCGCCCCTGATGAGAGGATAGTGTAACTCCAAAGTGGGTCAGGATGAATGAGTTAAGAGTTTATATTTTACCTTGACATGACAGTGTAAGAACCTCCCTGCTGTCACAGTCACTGAAACAGAGTCATTTACAGTTAAATTAAAAGAGGGAAGACTCAAGTTAAATTTTCTAAAAATATTTACTAGATGAGTGACAAAAAAAGAGTAGCTTGAAGGACGATGAATGGAATGAATTAGGAGATAAACCATTCGGGTTCAGTTACCAGGGAATAAATAAGTCTTTGATTTTCTTGCCATAGCTGAGCTGCTCGTCCTGTTTGATGCAAAAGAACTCCCCTCCATCACCACTGGCCTCTGGCACCAATGCAACAGAATAATTCACCAGACTGAAACAAAACACAATTTCCTCCCTTTAAAACAGTAATTCACCAGATTGAAACACAATAATTCATTACACTGAAACACAATAATTAACCACACCAAAACACAATACACCAGAATGAAACAACATAATTCACAATGAAACACAATCATTCACCAGATTGAAACACAATCATTCACCAGACTGAAACACAATCATTCACCAGATTGAAACACAATAATTCACCAAACTGGAACATAATAATTCACCACACCGAAACACAACATTTTACCAGACTGAAATACAATAATTCACCACGCTGAGACACAATCATTCAACACAATGAAACACAATGGGCCTCATGCAAGAACCATTCGTACGCACAGATTTGTTCTTCAGTTGTGCGTACGAGTGATTTAGGAGAATTTGTGGCATTCTCCAATGTTTTCATATTCTAAGACTTTTTTCAGATACGAACAAAATTCACGAGTGGTCCAGACCTGTCGTTATTTTACGAACAGTCAGTCTGCTATTATACAGACAGATTTTC